TTCAGTGAATTTTTGTACTTCCTTTTCTATTTGGCCTGTTTTGCTTTTAAAGGAACTCTTTTCTTTAACGAATTTTTGTTTCTTTTACCAAGTTGCTAATTCTCTTTTCATAATTTTCTTGTATCACTCTCATTTCTTTTCCCAATTTTTCCTCTACCACTCATATCTTTCTTTATCTCTTCCAGGAAGTCTTGATGGCTTTGGGTCCAATTAGCATTTGTCTGTGAAGCTTTGTTTGTAGTTGTTTTCATATTATTGTCTTGTTCTAAGTTTATGTCTTGATCTTACCTGCTACCATAGTAGATTTTTCTGGTCAAGTTCTTTTTTTTTGGTTGTCATCTACTTATTTTCCCAACCTGTTTCTTGACTTTGAACTTTATGTTAAAGTTGGGCTCTGGCTCATGTGTGGGTGGGAAGGCACTGTGCTAAGCTTCAGACTTTTTTGATCTGCTGTTTTCAAAGCTAGTTCTAGGGATCTGCAAGTAATGTGATGTTATTCTAGGAGAGGTGTGGTTACTGCTGTCTTTGTCTGTGCTCTGATCGTTAATCAGAAAGGGCCCCTGCTCCCTTGCAGCTGCAAGTACTGGTGTTCTTCTTAGCCCTATAATCCCTCTTGAACTGTAATCAGGTCCTCTACTCCCCTGTGACCAATCACAAGCATTCCTCTCCATCCTGGAACTGTGCCCCAGAACTGCTTATGAGTAATAGATTCACCAATCAGCACAAACCACACCCACTGCCAGCAAAGGGTCCCCTGTAATCTCTTTCTGACTAGTTGTCTGATCCCCTTACCGTCTCTGGGCTGAGAGCTCCCAAAGCTGCTGATGCTGCAGTTGCTGCTGTCACCTCCATGACCCACCACTGGTGCTCTTGCCCTGCTCCAAGCATTCACCCCCCACTCTGATGTTACAGACCTCTCCTGAGAACCTCCTAAGTTGTCTTTGAATGGAAAAATGACTCCCTCTGATCTTTTGTTGGCTCTGCCACTCCAAAATTTGATTTGAGGAGGTATTTTAAAGTCGGGGGGATGGAGGAATGTTGGGAGAGTTAAGCTGGGTCCTGTCCTGTGCTCCATCCCAAGTATTTGAACTTCAAAATGTTATAAAAATGTTAATGATTTCTTAGTTTCAACATATAATTCTATTGGTGATGATTTTTGGTCTAGATATGTAATTCAACTGGTGAGAGGAACTTCCTCTACTAATTCAAAGTAGCAAGCTCTTCTATAATTCATAATTTTAGAAAGAGTCTTGATTTGCCTATGGTCATCCCATCAATACATATCGGAAACAATTTTGAACCCATGTCTAATGTAAAGGTTAGCACTCTATTCACTATTGGGCAGTGAGGTGGTGGAGTGGGAGAGTGGAGAGGGCTAGACCTGGAGTCAGGAAGACCCCAATTTAAATCCAGCCTCAGATACTTACTCATTATGTGATCCCAAACAAATCACTTAAACTTTGCTGGTCTGAGTTTCCTTACATATAAAATAGGAATAAGAGTAGGACAGTTTTCCCTTTCCCAAGGAAACTAAAATGATATCCTAAAAGTATTTTCCCAAAATTTTCTCAGTATAATGTAAAAAAAAAATTCTTCAACAAAACCATATGAATTGTGTTCTAATTAATCCACATACATTCACAACACTTTTATATGGATCCCCCAAATGTCTTAGTGACTATATAGTGACTATATAAGTGACTATATAAGCTTTAATAACTTAAATAACTTTAAAACTACACTAAGACTTTGGGGACACTCTGTGTAAGTAAAGTTAGTGATGGGGAAGTTATATACTACGCATGTGTGGATACATGTGTGTATATTCACACATACACACACAAACATATTCTATTCATAGAGACAGATGTCAAAGATAGAAATATGGATTGTACATATACTTATTAGTACTAGACCATGATGCCAGGAAATGCACACCTGGAAGATAATGGTAAGTATTAGTAATATTGGCAAGAAAGATCTAGATTCAAATCATGCCTGATACATATATGTGTGTGTGTGTATGTATGTATGTATACACACACACACACACACACACGAGGTGTGACCCTGAACAAGTCATTTAACTTCTTTTAGACACAGTTTTTTCACCAGTAAAGTGGGGATAATAATAGCACTTGCCTGACAAGATTATAGTGAAGAGTGTAGGAGATAGTATGTTACATGCTTTGCAAATCTTAAAGCATCATAAAAATAGTATTTTCATTACTTTTTCCCTGGTCTCTCAAATCCATACTTCACAATGCTGCGAGGTCAAACCTTTTGATGCTTCTACTCCATACAATGACCATGTCAAGCTTCTGACTATCAAACTTCTTGAAAAAAAAAGTGGATTCTCCCAGTTCCTCGCCCTAAGTAATCTTTTACAATCTAGCTTGGGTCCCCATAATTTTAATAAGACTGTTTTCTCAAAGGTCACCACTTCCCTAACCCAACCCAATCCAGTAGTATGTGTGTGTGTGTGTTCTAAGTCATTTTCCTTCTTGATCTTTCTACAGTCTTTAAAGCTGTTGACCACTCTCTCTTTTGGAAACTGTTGTCATTCCTTGGCATCATATTCTTATATGTTAAAACATCATACTCTCACACTATATTCACAGCTCCTTCACAGGTTTGTTCTCCTCTTACAAAGACCTTAAGGTGAGTGTTCCCCAGGGCTCTAACAGCTCAATTTAAAGTGTCAAGATATTAAGAGACACCCTGTTTTCCACAGCTAAGGTCCAGCAAGCAAGCTTGCCCTGAGCTTGGCATAACAACAATTCTTTGTGCTCACTCTCTGGATGATCTCACCCTCTCACAAAAATCACATAATTATCCTATTGCTTTGCCAAGCTTAGGTGGCATCTGAGATTAGACAAGCACTGAACAAGCTCGGAAAAGTACCCACATTCTGGTCATGAAGTCCTTCTATGAATCAAACTTGTCTCATTGTTGCTATTACCCCTCGTTAGCAAGGACTATAGCTCACTGCATGGCCATAGGTATACGTATTGAGATTTGCCTGCACTAAAGCTCTTACTCTCCCACTAGGGGCGGGGCTCCAGCATACGTGTCCTTGCTTACAAGCCATTTTCCGTACTTTGAGGTTAAACTTCTGTTTGATTCCTGACTCCCCTGTCTCTAGCCAGTTCTGTCCAGTTCACACAAGCGATCCCACATGAACTTCTTCATTTATAATGTTATGTTGTCAAGATGACGCTGTCCTATAAGTAAAATGATTAGTAACAGCATTTCTCTGAAACACTTTAAAATGCATCTTTATCACAGAATATCTAATACCTCTAGTACAAATCACAATCCTTGATTAATGACATATTTAGAAATGTATTTTACCCAACAGTTTAAAATAAAAGTCAATGATAGATATAATACTACTCAGACTTTCAAAAAAACCCACTAAATTTATAACATTTTAAAAATTTGACATTTCCAGGCAGCTAGGAGGTGCAGTGAATAGTGCACCAGCCCTGGAGTCAGGAGGACCTGAGTTCAAACCTGGCCTCAGACACATAACACTCACTAGCTGTGTGACTAGCTATGTGATACTTAACTCCACATAAAAAAAATAGTCATCTAAAAATTTGACATTTCAAAAGATTTCCATATTATACTTAGCAATTTATCACTAACTTCATTTTCTTTCAACTTCAACATGATTCTAAAATTACACTACTCATTTCTTATGAAATATGTCTATTTTAAAGTTAAAACTTTAATCAGCTTTGTGAATTAGTCATAGATATAAACAAACCACAAATTATTTAAACATTAACATTAATATGCTCATTCAAAAAATATTGTTGGTGCTCATAATGCATTAAACCAATGTAATAATTTTATATGAAGTGCTATACAATCTAGATATTTACATGCCTGGGGTCCATAGAATAACTAATGTTTTATAAAAACAAAAATAAATTAGTCAATTATTTTTATTGCAGTAATGTGAAATTTTATAGAAGAGATTACTGAAATAAGAAACATTATCTCTTTTACTCTGTCATACAATTTTATAACACCTTAATTTTTGTATTTTAATATCATTAGAACCAAGGAAGTCAAATAAAGAAAACAGCAATGGTAGGAGTTCTGCCTTTAAGCTTAATCTCAAAGCATTCAATCTATCTCCCATCTGCGGCAATCATCAAACATTCACGTATCCTAGCACATTATTATGCAGACATTCTAATACTCTTTTATTTGAAAATAACATCAGAATAAAGCAAAACCATTAGGCAAATATTTTGTCTAGTTGCATTTTTAAACATGTAATCACTAAGCCAAAAATATTGGTTCTGATGATGAACCAATCATAGCACTCCTGAGGTAAAGGCATGGTTCGACAGCTTTCCTTCTAATAAATACTAAAAGAAAAATTACTGTTCTGTTAGCAATGGCTGCATAAGCACAGCACCCCAGGGATGTAAGCCTGGAATAGGTCAAACCTCAAATCATTCATTCATGCAATATGCTTATTGAACACCTACTGTGTACAAGATCGAGTGTTAGACGCTGTGGAAAACACAAATGTGAATCTGCAATGTTCCCTAGCCCTGAAGATTTATAACCTATATCTATTATAATGTTGCACTGTGAGACCAAGCATGGTTGTGGACTGGTCGCAGAATTCAAGAAGATTTCTAGGAAGAAGAGTTTGTTTCTGAATACACTGGGTAGTTAGATACTTTTAAGAAGGTTTCTGTAGGTCAGAGGGGGAAAAAAGTCATATAACATGGGAGAGCCTAAGAGTTGAAATATTTCCCAGGATTGCTTACATCACTGGATTATTGTTGGAGAGACTACAGATAAGATCAGGTCACTTAAGCCCAGCCTAATTCAAGCCATATCAAACTCAGAAAGTACACAAATTCCAAACCAAAGATGGACAAAAATCATGAACATAATTGCCAATTTATTATTCAAGTCTACGGGGTTATTAGTATATACTTCAAGAGGTATTTCCCAGGCTCTATGTCCAAAAGTTATGATAAATTTAGATTAAGCTCCAAATTTTCAGGAGATACTTGCCTTGAAAAGCAGCTGCATTGCGAGATATTAGAAATTTTAATGTAGAACTCGAAGTCTGAAGGACCTGCTGTATATCCTGCCGGGCTGCAATTTGATATCTCTCTTCCATCTTTTTAGTACAGCAAGTAGGATTTTTGGATGTACAAACCTGAAGATCAGGACCTGGAACATGGCAAACATTTTATCATCAGAATTATTAGAGGATATCATTAGCAAATACTGTGAGAAAAAAAAAAAAGCAATGACTTTATAACATTGTAGTAAACCATCCACTAGGCAACCAGGGCCAACCCAGGTGGCATTTTGCCACCTGCCCTGAAATTGCAACTTCTTGTCAAGTATATCAAAGCCTATCCCTTCATCTCCACCTCTACACACACATATACCCCCACTCTCCAGAGATCATGGCAGCTAAGTGATCCAGCAGACTGAGTGATGGTTTTGGAGTCAGAAGACCTGAGTTCAAATACTGTTGAACACTTGTGTGACCCTGTGCCACTTTCTTAATCTCTCTCACTCTCTCCTTCCCTCCTCTCTTTTCCTCCCTCTCTCTTAGTTTTCTCTGCAAATTGGGAATGATAATAATAGCACCTACCTCCCAGGGTTGTTGAAAGGTTCGGTTAAGACTAACATGTAAAGCACTTTGCAAACCTTAAAGGGCTTTTTTAAATGCTAGCTATTATCATGAGGATGTTTAACCATTCACCTTTGGCACTCTGCCCTGACATTAAGTGGTCTCCATCAGTAGGTGAGTGAAAACTCACCTAACCCATTATCTTTAGCCAGAGGCAGACCAGGTATCATGTGCTTACTGACTTTCAAACCTCTCTCCAGAAAACCAAGGTTGATGCAACACAAGCCATCTGCTCTGCCCTTTCTCCTTTTGCTCTTGCTTTGGGACCAGTAATCAAATTAATGCAAGCATTACTACTAAAAGAGCATCCCAATCAACTGCTCATGCCTCTCCAGACCAAACTTTGTTCTCTGGCCACATAACCCCAGTACATAGTAAACACTTAATATTTTTCTTTCTTTCTTTCTTTCATTCATTCATTTCTAGTACTGCTGAGAAAGGAAAGTGACAAATCCTCATGTGGCAATAAAATCTACTTCTGTGAACTGCTTCCATTAGGGAACATGAAATATTATAGTATATATAAATTTCAAAGATTCTCTCAATCATCTTTTTTTATTCATTAAAATAATTCTTATTATAACAAATTAGTCATATGCAATAGTGAAAAGAAAACTAGATTTGGATTCAGAGTATCTGGGTTTGAATCCCAGCCCTACCACATAGTAGCTATGTGACCTTGGGCAAATCACTTGATCTTTAGGAAACTCAGTTTCCCTATCTGTAAAATAATACTATGTGCACAACCAAATTAATTGGAATTTATGACAATAAAGAGGGGATTTATGTAAAGCACTTTAAAAACTATAAGACAATTTTAAACATAAGGTAATATTCAAAATCCCTCTTCCAAAAGTTTAAGCCCATTTTTTCTTCTTCAAAACAGGATTGAAAAATATATGGAGCTCCTTAAAATCCCTTATTTCACAGCTTCTTGATATCACAACACACTCTTTCCTTCTTCCTTGCTTTTTTAGGGAGAGAAACATCTCAACTCATGGTATTAAGTGCCTTTGAACTCATCCCTTGCTGTCTCCTCCAGCAAGCATCCAAATCTTCATGAATCTTTTATTTCTCTCTCTACTGGCTTCTTCCCAATTTATCCCATGCTCAGATATCCCCATTCCTTAAAAAGAGCCTTTCTTTGATCCTATCATACTATCCAACAAAAGTATTATCTCTATATCCCCCTCAATGTCAAACTTCTTGAAAAAAGTATGTGCATTCTAACCCTCCACTTCCTTACTATGCTCTATTTTCAGTCCTTATAATACAGTTTCTGCTCTCCACCTCCATTCCATCACTTCTTTCCACTATACCACACTGCTTGCCTTCTCTCTCTCTGCACATACACACACACGTACGTACACACACACACACACACACACACACACAAACACACACACACACTACTGGAAAGGTAGGGAGGTACCTGATTGTGGAAGTTCTTGAGGGTCAGACTAAGGATTGTAACTTTTCCTTGATTGGTATCATAGGGAGTCAATGAGAGTATTATCATTATTATCATCATTATTATTATCATCATTATTATTATTATATTATATGTATGTTTTACATATAACTATATGTTTTATATATAACAATAATAGATGCATATATCTAATAATATATGTATATATACCTAATATCTGTATATCTGTATATTTTATATATTATATATATTTACATATATATTATATATGTATAATAATACTTTTATGGACTCCCTATGATACCCTGATCAAAAAAAAGTTACAATCCTTAGTCTGACCCTCAAGAACCTCCACAATCAGGTACCTCCCTACCTTTCCAGTCTCAATTCATATTATTTCCTCTACATATTCTGTGTTCCCCATTTCCCTACCTCTGTACCTTTGCCACTTAGATTACCTTCCTCCACCCAACTGATTCTATTCCTAACCACATCCCTATTCAGCCTTTCAAAAACAACTCAGATACCAACTCCAGGAAGTCTTTTCTGATGTAGTTAGTCAATAATGACCTTCTCCACCACCATTTAAGCTTTAAATAGTGCACAAACACATACACACACATACACACCCATGTGTGTATATATATATATATATATATGTATGTGTGTGTGTGAATATGTGTTTAAATATAAATATGTGTGTAGGTATTTAATCTGTGGTAAAATTAGCTGAGAATTAACAAACAATTCTTTCAACAAAAATTTTTATAGGATACTGTGCTAGGGACTAAAAGAGGTGAGTATTTATATAATGTGTGTATATACATTGTATATGTAATTTGTATAATGTATTTATAATGTAAAATATATTGTATTTAATGATATATAATGGAAATTTTCATAATGTAAAATAAAATTTATTATGTGTAGATGTTATGCATATAATATTTTATAATGTACATATATTATGTGTGTTTTCATGTCACATACCTCTCTACCTAACTATAAGCTCATTGACAGCAAGGCCTGTATTTTATATAAATACTGTACCTCCCTTAATCCCTAGCATAGTGTTCTATACACAGTAAGTGGTTGACAAGTGTTTATTGAAAGAATTGCTTGTTAATTTTCAGCTACTTTGCCTACAATTTAAACAAATATCTTTAAATCTCTATTCACTGGCCATGTTATTCAACTTGTAATCATTATCTTTATGACTTTCCTCTGAAACCCATGTCTCTGATCCTTCCATTCAAGGGTAGATCTCAGAATAAAATTTTGTTTTCATTCAATTAATTGTACCGTTCAAATGAGTCTATGCTCTTGTAACATCAGGTAATGTAAGTGAAAAATAATAGCTAAAATGCTACCTGCTGTGACATTTATAAATATTTCATAGCTCTTGACCTTTGTAAAACACTCTAATACTGTCATTTGCTATTTGTCTAACTTAAACTATAACTGAAAGCATTAGAAATTATCATCTTGGTACTGTTAGCAGGAAGTATAGGCCAATCCCAAAAGCTTTGATCTAGTTAGGGTCAGTTCTGAAATGGGAGGGAAAGGTTGGAATGAAGAGAAGCATATGTGACCATTTTGTGGGACTGTTCCTATTTTTTTCCCAAGACCCAGAGTTGTCATGAGGTTAATAGAAAACTAATGGCAGAGGAAATGTCATTGTATTTTGAGCATCCCATGGAAGCAAGAGCCATAGCTTTTCTTTTCAGGCCTACACTAACAGAAAAAGAGAAATATGCATTACATGCAGGAGTGAGGAATCTGAGGCTAAAGGCCACATATGGCCTTCTAGGTCCTTGGGTGCAGCCTTTTGACTAAGTCCAAGTTTTATAGAACAATCTCTTTATTAAGGGGATTTGCTCTGTGAAGTTTGGATTCAGTTAAAGGGCCACGCTTGAGGACCTAGAGGGCTACATGTGGCCTTGAGGCTACAAGTTCCCCACACTTGCATTAAGATTAAATACAAGTCAAGAAGCATATTTATCAAATCCAAGAATACCCAGTTTCTCAGTAGTGCAAAGATTCTCAAATCAATACCCAACCTGTATCTGACTTCCATGGATAGTGCTAAAACCTTTTACCTCCTTCCTTCACCTTCACCTGTGCCTCCAGAACCAGTCCTTTTTTTTCTTTCCAAATTAACAGGGCTAGATAAGTTCATAACAATGTATGTTAATGAGCAACTGTGGTAGAAGAATTCCCTCATTTTCTGGATAACACATACATTTTACAAAGGATTTTTCCTTTCAAGTTTCATGACTTTTACTCATTTGAATCCTCACTAATATATGAATTAACCATTGAGTGATGAAAAGGGGAAGTGCAGGCTATTTTGGAAAATAACTAGTTGCTTGATGAGTGAAGTAAAATTTGTCAAGAGAAAAATTAGTTATTAGTTCAAACTTCCCTGTAGAGGCTGGTGGTGGTAGGAGTGATGGTAGTGCCTTCTACAAAAGCAATGGATCTCACTAAATAGATAGAGAGGATGGAAGTGGCAAAAGCATGGAAAGGAAGATTCATCTCATATCCTTCAGTGTGGGAAAGCAACATGAATTCCAAATACCCAAATACTGAACATTTACTCATCAAAAAGGATGAATACTCAGTCTACAGCATATAGGCTCTCCAATTCCATGGTTGGCATGAAGCCAAAAGCCCTCTCTTGGGTATGTAGAGTATCTTCATTGGTCTTTGAGGCACCATCATTACCAGAGATAGAACATTAGTGTACTCATGGAGCCACCTGATGTTTTTAAGACAGTGATTTTTTAGGAGTTAATGATCTATATAGCTCCCACAGTGACAAGATGGCCTTGACATGTGCCAAGGGTAATAGAATAGCTAGCCATCTCTTTTATCATCCTGAGTCTTTTCCATATCATCAAAAACATGCCTGGTCATATACTTTATGTGCCATTATCACAAATTAGCTATATCAACATTTTCACTGCATAGGTTTTCCCACTGTTCTTGACTTTAACCTCTACTCCAGAGATGTTAGAGCAAAACGCACAGCCTAACCTACCCAGAAACACTTCTAAAAATGAATTGAAATGTTTATCATTTTAAATTTTTGTA